TTTTAGTGCAGCTTATTATTCAGCACTGAGAGATGCAGCCGTCCTAAAAAGGGCTTGTTAAACAAGCTTATTAATTGACATGGGGCCACAGATAATTAAGCTCTTAGGAAAGCAGCACTTACGTATGTCTGCTTTCTCTGTGCTTTCCAACTTTCCATCAGCTCAGAACCTTTTAGATGGGATATTGACAGTCATTGCTCCAAAACAATTTTTCGTAATTTTGGAAGGTTATCCCTACCGCCTGTCCCTGTTTTTAAGTAGTCTACTCGCAGAACTCCATAAAGAAAACCTGTTGTGTTATTTCTCTGTCTTTTCCCCAACCCAGCTGCATACAGTTTTAGAAAAAGCACGTATGGAAATAAGTATGTGTATGCAGTTTTAAAAAATGTTAGCTTATTCTCAGATAAAAGGCTATAGCGTAGAGCAACAGAGGAGCAGACAAAAGGAAAGAGGACCTGAGAAAAATACTTCCTACTCTGCTAAAAGGTTTGACTTTTACAGCCCATTTCCAGCTGATTGTTGCGCTATAAATAAAGACTCAAGGTGTTGTCAGCTTATACATTTGCATGTACTCCTATGTGTCCACACAATTTCATAGAATGATGCAGGCTTTCCAATCAACTCAGATGATGTAACAACATACAGGAAAAAAGTTAGTATCTCCTACTGTAAGAAATTGGAACTGATCATTGAAAAAAAAGCTCAGGCTTATAAAGAGAAAAGTGGCTTTGCTAGACTAATGTCTGAGATTTAATTTTTAAGTAGCACAAATGATTCCCCAGAGCTGTGGAACACACCAGACTCTTCCTCGATCCTTGGCTACATTATTGAACGTGCCCTGTGAGATACATCGTACTTGGATCTCTTTATTGACCTTAGGTTTGATTCTTCTTTTTGCTTTTTTCATCTCTATGCTTGTGAAGAATTACAGGAGATCCATCTGCAATAGGTGTGGAACCATTGGCAAGGACCATTTTATTATGCTGTTTAATAGGATGCACGTCCTAACAGAAAGATGAGTTGGAAGGATGCTCCTAACCAATTCTCTGTTAGATGCTATTCCCAATCTGACTGTAGAGATACTGTCAAGAGGGATTTCTCTCAGATGATATGGAAGTCTGTCTCCCAGAAAGGTGGGGAAGAGAACATCAAAGACAGGATTCAGTTTTAGGTGGCTGGTGAAAGCTGAGGTCCTCCTCAGCTTGTACATGTAAGCAATGGGTCAGTAAATTCATCAGGACAAAATCCAGGGCTCAAGCATGGGCTTAAAATAGAAAACATGGATATTTTCACATGAGTTGCAGAAAGTCTGTACTGAACCTTTGGTCCTAAGCCTTTGGTAGCCTGTAGAACCAGGCATCATTAAATTTTCTATCTTATAAGCCAAATCTCAGGAACTTTTATATCCTGTAAAGTATACAACTTCCTTCTGGGACTTAGTTAATAAAAGAAATCTGTACTTAAATGGTTTTCTCACTGCTTTAGTCAGTGAGAGTACTTTACTCAGTTCTATACTATAGCAATTACTTTTATCCATATAGCAATTCATATGTAAGAAACTTACTGAATTCATCTGAACTTTGCGATGTATAGAAGTGCATGTTCAGGCTCAGCAGGAACAGGCCTTTCTGCTTATGATCTAAACTATTATTTCTAATCTACTAATGAGTTCTGTTAACTCAGTTCCAGACTCCTGACAGCGGTAGCTCTGTGCAGGACAAAGAACCTGTACTCTTTGGTGGGAACAAGGACAAATGTAACCATAAAGCTAATTCCAGCCTTCATTGCCATTTGACTCAATGATACACTGTTTTTGTTCCTTAAGGATTAGCTTCCCAGAAGATGGAGAGACCTTCTTTGTGTGTTTATCTTTAAATGTTTTAGTGCAGATTTAGACTACTGAATACCAGTCACGCTATTTAAAATGTGATTATCTTTGCAGTTTGCCATGCAAAAAGAGTTTACTCTGAAAGTACCGGTGGTGACTACAGTCTCTCTCTGCTACACAATAAATATCTTAATTTACAAATTTTTTTTTAATGGGGAAGTGTCAAAATTTAAAACAGCACCATACATAATATTTTCCAACTAAGAAGCGGAGGCTAAGCCTATATTTTCAGCATAAATTTAACACAAAGACCACCAGGTTCAAAAAATGCTCTGAGTCTGAATTTCATGGAGACTGCATTAGTCTAAGGAAGAGAAATTAAAAACAAAATCAAACACTATAAGCCAAAATAAAGAATATGGGGTATAAAATGCAAAATACTAAAAATAAGAGAATAAAAGTTGAAAAGTAGGCTTCATTTAAGTAATTTCATTTTTAACTTTTATACTTTTGATACTTTTTTATACTTTTTATTATTATAGCACAAGCAACATGGGCAAGAAAATTAGTTTTATATGTCTACATACATATATTTCAGAAATATAGCTATAGGTATGGAAAGATATACATTATCAAGATATACCATATGCTTAATGCATATTTATATAAGGAATGCTACCAAATTTTGGTAGGTTTACAAACCCTGAGGTTGCATTGGACAACAGAAGTATACAATAAATTAGAGCAACACAAGATCCCTGTCTCAGGTATTACCTTTCTGACTTAGTACAGTGAAAAATCAAATTATTATGCAAAATACTGGATGCAATAAATAAATAAGATTAAACATTGCTGTGCATTGAGCTATGGAAGAGCAAAAGCTTTATCTATATACTGAAGTAGAATTTTTGATAATTCGTAGTCACTAGTATGAGGTTACAATGCCCCTAAGATTAAGAAAATAGCCTGATGACTATGAAAATCTTCCAAAACACTATAAAGTTATATATGTTTAACTTCATCTGGGCAGTTTAATAATCCTGCTGTCAAGTCCTATGAGGGCAATTAGCTTATTTAAAGATTTGCTTAGAGCAAAAATAATGCACCTGTTGCTGCCAAAGCCTACGTATTTTCAGGTGTACCAGTTTTCTCTGTGCGTGAAATAGCTGATACTTGTCTTCATGCTCCCACACAGAGCCAGAAAGACTGGATTCCTCATTGTAACGATACTATTCATTTCCACAGAGGCCTCAGTTTAGAGACTAAGTAAACCTCACATTATTTTCATTGTCCTGGTGCTACTACTCAGAAAGAGCTACGAGTACTATACCCATTTAACCACGGTGTTTGGGAGGTGCATGGAAGGAATAACAAGTGGCTTCTGTCCTTGTCCCCTGTGCAGCTTTGTCACAGCTGCCACGGTTATTAATGCAAAATACATGCTTAACGCTCAGCCCACTGGTGGTGATGCAGTATCCCGTAACACAGGGGAGAGAGGACTGTGATCTTGCAAAGCTTTCTGAGCACGAGATGTGCCCAAAAGATTTAAATTTAGAACAGTTGCTGAAAAATGAAGTTTTATGTCCTTTATTGTTGTACTATGAGCCCAAAGAGAAGTTTGTTGATAATTTCTTATGTATCTCCCTAAGGATCTGTATCAATTTAACCACAAATACATCCATAAACTAATGTAAATCCACAAATCAACCCTTCATTCAATGTAAAAGAAGCTTGACTAACTTGAGTCAGCCAGCAAAACTGATATAAATATATCCCCAGTGGCACATTAACTACCAGTATTTCAAAATATTGAATTTAAATTCATTCCGTTTTCTAACAAAGCCCAGGTCCTTGGAAGTCACACAAGATGGTTTGCCCAAGTCTGCTCAGTTAAGCTTAATTTAACTGAACCCGTAAACATCTTTGTAACACATGAGCCCTTTTGAAGTAACCGAGATCCGCAATGTGTTTCAAGTTGTCTGTTTAATTTGAGATCACTAGCAACACTTACAAAAGTGTCCCTAAGAACTGTATTGCAGCTGGGACGCTGCTCAGTAAAGTCTTCCCTGTTACCGCAGTTTTGTCAGATTTTACAGAACTGGACACACATGCACTCTAAGAGCAGGGCACCAGTATAAGTGATCCTGCCAACCTAGTCTGTAATATAATCTCAGAAAAATGGACCATTGGTACCAGCATCATTTGCAATTGTTTTCATTCTCCTATTTTCAAATGAGTAGGCTTTTTAGTGCCCGACAGTAGATGCTCCAAATTCCTGACTGGCAAGGTTTGGTGTGTGAATCACAGGAAAAGAAACAGGAAAAAGTTAGAGCAGTATTTTAAGCACTGTATCAAAGGTGCTTAAAGGCGGGGGAGACACAGAGAGAGAGAGAGAGAGAGAAAGAGAGGGAGAGAGAGAGAACTGGGTCCATGGAATAATAATCAGTATGATGGCAGACTTAAATGTAGTATGGAACCGAGACATACACCGCATGCTCCAGCAGTAGTGAAGACGTTTTGGCAGACATCTTTACAAGCCTATTCCACTTAGAAAAAGCTTTAAGAGGCCAGCACACTGAAATAAAAACTGTAAGTTAGCTAATTAACTTCAATGTAGTACATATCTTAAAATTCTTTCAAGACGCCAAATACTTAGAACTTCTAATTTAATTGGAGTCAACCCACTTTAAAGATGATTGCCAGTAATACTGCCAGTAACAATAATCATAAACAAAGCATCAAACATTATAAAATAAATCACAGCTTTTCATGAATTTATGTATTTACAGGCCAGATTACAATATTCTGACTCATCTCCGTGAGCATTTCATTCCGAAACAGCCCATTTTTTTCAGTGATACAGTCCTCAGCATGATTATCGGTATGTGGGGGAAAGAAAATCCATCCTTCAGAAAATCCTTATTACTTTATACTGTGGCCATTTGACAAGTCAGAGAGATGAGAACTAGGCAAACTCTCCAGACGATGGTTACATCTGACCTTTGGAATCTTACTTGCTTTAACCTTGTCACTAAAAGACCTAAGAGCCACATACGAATATTCTGATGTGCAGGGACCTTCAGTTCACATCAGTTACAACTGCATGCAAAGACCAAATTTCTAAAATGTGATTCCCAACATTCTTTTCTTTTTTTTTCCCCCTCAGACTTACCTGGTTTCATCAATATAAACTGCCTCCAGCACAGATGCTGCATATTCAATATTCTTCTTTAAATCCACTACATTAATGTCACCCTTCTCCAGCTGCTTTACTAAGCATCTTAATCTGTGAAAAAGAAAATAAAAGTATCAGTCCACTGCTTATATAAAATTTCAATCACTGCATTTTCTGTTTGAAATACTGGAACCAACTCAATAGCCAAAATAGCGGTAAGATGTAGAGTCACTGCATCTCTTGTCTTGTTTCAAAAAAATCTGGGTTTAGAACGCACATAACAATGACTAGTTATATGTTTTTACAGCTTGCTAAATGTGTAAGATCTATTAAGAAAGGACATATACATTCCAGTAACTCAGAGAGGACTCAGTAACTACCATCAGAATGATTTCATATTAATTTGTGACATTACTATTATGCATGAGTCTCCAATTTTGTTTAAATAATAAACCAAACTTTGCAAGTTGTCTTACCATAATTTTTATGTGCTTAGAAGGTTGATTACAATTATTTAATATCCACTATATACTGATTTTGCTTCATTTAAAGGTCTTTAATTTTTATTTAGGCCTCCAGTACATTTTTGCTGCAGAATTTGTATTTCTTATTAGCATGAACTAATGTGGAGCTCCATTGTTTCTGTGTTTACAGAAAATTCATCATTACACCAGATGAAAGGTGGTGCCTATGGCATTAGAAAAATCCAAATATTTTCCCAAGTGTGCTTTTAATTTTAGTTTTGAGAACATTCTTTTACATTACAAACACGGATACGCCCAAAGGGGATTTTGTAATGCATCAACTCACGCCTCTGTAGCAATATACTTATACAGATAAACTCCTTGAATACCAGATTTTTCTGAAACTCTCTGATGAGAACACTTCTGACAGAGATCAACTTAACCATAGAGAGTAGTCACAGCACCTGAGTGAAATGACAACCTTATCAGGAACTGTGCAGAGCTGTGACTAAATGGATGCTTAAAGATGTATGGGTATTTCCCTTCTTTCTGTGCTATACCTCTGAGTTGAAATAATCTACAGTTTTGTATCATGTAAGATAAAGATTTCTGTAATTAAAGATACATCATTATTTTAACATAACTTTCATGAAATAATCTTTTTTATGTGTATAAAATGTGAAAAAAAAGTGTGAAACAAAAGTTTAAAAGTGGATTGACATAGAGTCAGCACTAAGCTTGCTACTTTCAGAAAAAAAAATCATATTTATGACATGAAAGAGCATAATAAAATATATAATACATTACATAATAATTTTATGTACTTTTTATTTGGCATATACAATTTTTGATTTGACTTAATTAAAATCATAAGAAATAAAAAAATGCTGTGATATTAAAAAAAAAAATCCCTCATAAACTTGGAAAGTACTGTTCTGTCGTAAAACCACTTCCATGTTTTTTCTTTATATTTATTTGGGCCTAAGTATAAATACGTCCAAGCCTGCAAGGATAATTTTAGCAAATGGAGTTTTAAGACCAGCCTCCTCAGTTCTCCAAAGTCTTAATTCAATTCAAATTAGCATAGAACATAACACAAACAAGGCTCTTAGCAACCATATTTACTTGGTATATTACACAGTGCATTGCATATCAATGGAATGGAAAAGTTAGTGTTAAAAAATTTTCTAAGAGAAGTGAAGTGGGTGGAAGAAATACTGTGGGAGTACACCTCCTACGCAGAAATAACCTTACGCATGGAGAGGCAGTTCCAGTCCATAACTCCTTCCACTTCAGAGGTACCTACAGACTGGTGAAGCTAATTTATAAATAGACACCCACTTTGCAGTACCCAACACACGCACTGTAACTCTCCTGGGATGTCTGCTCCTAGTAACGCACACAAACACGCACACAACCCCTCCTGAGTACCAATGCCAAAATGCCCAGGTGAGACTGGCAGCACCATCACCACTACTTGCCAATAGCCATAGGGTGGTTCTACCACTTGCACTGTTCCCTCCATGTTTGACTGAGCATGACTCCAAATCACACTTTCCAAAGTGGAAGTATAACTGCATTTAAAAATGCAACACTTCACCGGGGA